GATCCACCTCCGGTGTATTCTGGTGGAGCAGATCGGTGTCTGAGGAAAACCTTGGCCGCCTTGGCTGGCCGGCAGCGGCGACGCCGCCTTTTGGCGCCGCTTTCCTTCTTGGGGGCGCTGCTGAGGACACCATCTCTCCACTCCGACTCATGTCCGGGCGAAAGCCCAAGATCCGATGTGGATCGGGCGTCGGTGGCGCCCCGTGCACCGTAACCTTCCTGGAGGCGGCGCCAAGGACATTGGGATCGAATGGGAGGGTCTGCAGGTGAGGGGTGTGGGTGTGCTGCCTCCCTTTCGGTGGAGCGGTGTTTCATTCTACATATTCTTGGCGGCGGCTCTTGGCGGCATGGAGCAGCGGAGGCTTGGCGTCAGATGTGTGATGACGGACACGCGCAGGAGGTCGACGCTGTCTGGCGTCGTGGTGGCGTCGGCGGCAGCGAGACCAGGCAAGGCCGATGCAGCAGTACAGCTCTGAAGATGCATATGTGGCAGGTGGCTCTGGCGGCCTCATACCCGACAGGCGTCCTGGTTGAGGAGCATGCCAGACTGGTGGGTGCCCATACCTGGCAGGCGTCCTGATTGGGATCTCAGGTCTTAGATGTTAGGTTTGGCTGCGAGGTCTGTTTGGTATTAGGCCCAGACCATCAGCGCCCCTTCATCAGCTAGATAGGGGTAGCGGCAGAGGTTGGTTAGATGGTGGCTTTGGTCTTACTGTTGTAATGACTTTGTAAGGTCTTGTGTTAATAACTAATAAATTGGCCGCATGCATCGTCCAGATGAAGCCGGGGGTATTCCTCCTTTTCTAAAAAAAATTCAGCTCTTTGGCGCTTCTAGATATTGTTATCATCCCCTCGTCGGAAGTGGCGCGCAGGCGGTGGACGAGCAAATGAATGATGGCAATAGGAAGAGGAGGATAGCTATTTTTTTTAAATAATACACTTTTCTTATTAATTTTCAGAAATATTACGCTGTTTTTTTTTTATTTTTAAAAATAATACAGCGTCAGCTTACTGCAGGCCGACAGGAGCCAGTCGGCCTGCTGCTAACCGACAGGAGGCCAGTCGGCCACGGAGTAGCCCAGTCGGCTTCCTGCAAGCCGATTAATACTAATCGGCTAGCAGTTGGCCGACTGGTGCATGGCCGCCACATGCATACGTGTGTAGTGTGTGTACGGAGGGAGAGCTTGCTAGCTCACCCGTACGTGGGTGATGTGGTGGGATCGAGTGGGTATGAAACATACGTACTGGGATATTATATATAGATAGATAGACATACGGTATGGTAGATGCCCATGACACACGTATGTACGGTAATCAGGTAGGTAGCCTTTGCATGGCCAGGTTTGAGTCTTGGCCGTCGCCCGGAAATTAAAGTCGTCGTCGTCGTGGGACTGTGGCAACATGCTAGCTGCGAGTCGTTCACGCGCCGCGCAGCTCCGGCGGCACTCGTCTGCACGCTGCTGACTAGGTATGTTGTAGGTCTGCATCATCAACGGGCTCTTCGGCCTGCGTCCGCGGCGTACGCCAGGCTGGTTCAGGAGGAGCGTTGGGCCGAACGCCCCACCTGCAGTCCGCGCGACAGAACTAGGAGAGAGCAGAAAAAATGCACTATCACACGTAAAACACGTACGGGCCATGCACCAGTCGGCCAACTGCTAGCCGATTAGTACTAATCAGCTTATAGGAAGCCGACTGGACCCTAATCGGCTAGCAGTAGGCCGACTGGTTCCTGTCGGCCTGCAGTAAGCAGACGCTGTATTATTTTTAAAAATAAAAAAATGGCGTAATATTTTTGAAAATTAATAAAAGAAGGGTATTATTTAAAAAAATGATACAGGTACGTTCGACGGTGGCAACCTCGGCTGCCAAAGGGCGCTGACTATCGACGACACGCCGCCGGAGACGCTTTCGCACGCAGGAGCTGCCGTCGTTAGGACGCGGACGCACGCGGGAGAGGTCCTCGATTCAGGTCCTTCCATCGATTTGTTCTGCATCTCTGAGAAAATCCACCTTTGTGCTTGGTTCTTGGGCGTCCGCGCTCTCTACAGCCCTTCATAAATTAAGCTCCAGTTAACATGCACTGTGCACAACTCCGTATTCCTTGTAAGATGCTTTCACTTATTCGCTAATGTACATGCAGTCTCACATCCATTGCTAATTTTGCTTTAGGCAAATTCGGTGGCACACGAAGCAATCTTAAATTGTATTCGGTATTGTTCTTAAGGACAGCCCAAAATGATGTGTACTGTACTGAATTTTTTATGATTGTTCTTAGGGAAAAACACATATTTTTTCTGAAGCTACTAAATTTGGCCTGTACTAACTTTTTGCTGTTTTTCTCACAAAATACAGTTCTCCTTCAAACTATTTTTTTTTCATCTACTGAATGTGCTTCCGAAAGAGGATCTCAATAGAGTAACTGTGAGGAGGAGAGAGCAGCCATAGAGAAGTTAAGAACAACACACATGCTTCAGATTAACTCCTATTCCTGACCAAATATGTTTTTTTTTACAATTCACCAACATGCTTTTGATGATTGAATTAGCTAAAACAAGTATATATTTATTTCCATTTAGGACTTTTACATACCTCCTAGCCAAGCAAGCCTACCATCACTGGGTTCGGGAAGTCATTGTGCAAGATACATTAAAATTGAATTTGATGCAAGTGTATGGCCATTTTTTTTTGTTATTTGCTAGAGGATAGTTTCTACCCCAACTTTAACGTCCTTAATAACATGTCAATTTAAACAGCTGAGAATTTTTCATCTGTAGTTCATGTATCATTCTGGAGGCATTTTATAAAACATGTTTCCATATGAAACTCTTATCTTACTGAGGCATTTTAGAAAACAAGTTTCCATGCCATCCATTAGAAGGTGCTTGCTTACAGAAGAAGAACAATAGCGTCGCTAGCATATGGACACCACCTTTTGTAAAAAAAAATAAGACACTCTGAACAACTGTGTAAATATATGCCATATAATTGTATGATTTTGGTATGCAAATAATTTTTCCATATGTATTGCCCATTTCGCATACGATCCGATCGACTGGACGTGTTTGCCGCGCAAATATGCAGAAGGATGATCTCACTTTTGGGGACTTGATTTTGTGAATTGATAAGTTATCTTGACCAAATATATTACTTGTACAATGTTGCAATATGTATAGACTTGTCACCACTTTTACTGGATTGATATGTCATACTGTATGTACAATGTTTCAATACATATGTACTTGCAGCAACTACTAACTGAATTTTTTTCTTCACCTACAAAACTATATGGAATCTTCCTCTGTATTTCCATGTTGATATATGATTTATGTGTCCATACTATTGGGCTGTTCGAGCTAACACTGGAAGGCCTTACAGTGAATCAGGGCCGTCGAATAAAGTTTTTAGGATTGTCCCTACAAATATTATATCCAGACAAGATATTTGGTTGCAGGACCACCAAAGCTGAACCTTCTAGGTAAGGGCATTGAGTTTTCCAACGAGTAGCAGCATAATCAACCGGTCGGTGCCCATAAACATCCCAGATTTTCATTCAATTGAGATAAGGTTTATTCATGTTTTTCTATTTTGTTTCTCTTCACTGGTTTGCTTGGTTGATTTTCACCTTCATGTTGTTTGTTTCATGAAAAGAATCAGAAGAAGGGAAGGAAAGAGAGAGGAAGCATAATCTTGGGAGTATGGGAGATGCTGACAGGTACTTCCCAACTTCCATTCATTTCATCTTGTGTTTGGATATGAAACAGTGGCATAGTTGCGATGATAGTCATGTTTCTGTCATCAATGAGAAAATGTGAAGAGTTAGAGCTGGATGGAGCATCAAACAATGGAGTTGAGTCATGCATGGAATTGTAAGCCAATCATATATGCATAGACCCATTTTCAGTTTTTCGATGTATAGTGCAAATTATGCAAGTCATTTGAAATACTAATACAGTAAGAGTTCGTTATTGATGTTTGCTGTTGCGTGAATATATTCCCATAAAAAAATCTGTTGGAATATATTTGAATGGTGTCATCTTTGAATAAGATCTCTATAAGTATATAGTAACAGAATTTCTTATTTTCTTAAAATCTGGAAATTAAAGAATTTTATGTGTAAAACTGTATGTGCAAGGAGTAATTCAATGATTTTGCCTAGCTCAGATAAAATTGTGCACAAAGATTATAAGTTGCCTGAGCTTGAAATATGTTTTTGCACTGTTGGCGTTCATACGTATGTGGCTTGCATGTATGACAATTGGAATTTTGTTTCCTTCAGCAATTTCAAATAAAAGATATATGTTATTTTTATCAGATTTATACCGACATGAAAAGAATAAGGATCAATCTTATTTAGATACGTGCATTTGCACGTGCACGATTAGTAGTTGTTCTTAGTGCCTTAAACACTCATGACTCATGTTTATGCAAAAAATCTCATAGATAGCCTATCTTATACCAATAGTATATTTAGTAATTATTTACTTACCATTATGCAAATAATCTTTTCAATTGTACCCCATAAAACCATGTCTGCTAATTTCCTGATGACCACATCTATATTTAACTTTTATATTTAAAAAATGTTTTTAAGAATTCTCGGGACAGTGCGGAGGGTATCATCTAGTTATATTAAGCAAGAGTTAATTGCAAGAGTAGTAATTATTAAACGTCAAACCACAAGAGTTGTGGAGTCGTATATTGAGCCTGATGCTAACTAAGCCTGGTTCACGAAGAGAAAGCCAAGGGACCATAGTCAACTATGCACTAATTAATGCATTGCCAAATACTAGCATAGTAAGACGTAAAATGTATATGTGGTTATTATACTGCAATCATTCACCATAAGACTACACTAGTAGGCTCAATACAACCACGATTCATGCCAGAGGTACAACTCAACACAAGGTCCTGCTTTCATTGACACACATAAATTTCAAATTAGTCATGTGGGAATACCACAAGATTCCTGTGATGTTAAGCCACAAATCACTAGTTTTGTCCCTACTGTTTGAGCCATGACGTAAATGTGCTCTGCAACCTCTCTGAGGAACGCACAACCCATAGTTTCAGGAAATCTTTGGCTACCTGCATCCACTGCACTTTCCTCATCTGCTCCTGCCGCATCCGACGAAGTGCCTTACTATTCTTGTTCCTACCTTGTCGTATGGCGGCTCTGTGTGCTCTGGGAATTCTTGTTGTGCTTGTCTTCTCCACACATAGGTGTGCACTGCCATGGTTGGACCTCCATACTATCTGATAGGTCGCAGTCTCGGTGTTATGGTGAAGATAATCTATCGCCTTGGGCAGCAATATCTCATCAAGTTGGTCAGGATGAACATTTGCATGTGTGAGATGTTGCTTCTCTCCATCGATCACCTCTATCGCAGAGCCCTCGCCGGTGGACTTGGGGTTCTCCAGAGAATCATGAGGCATGAACAGAATTCCCAGCTTCAGAAGTGGGGTATTCTCCAGAGAAGAAAAATCATATCCCGCAGTTGATCCCTGTAGGTTCTTATAGTCGAGTAGAGAGATTTGACGCTGCAAAAATACTTCACATACTGGTTCTGGAAATATGCTTGAAAGTCTCACTTTGTTCCTGTAGTTACCGACATGAGAAGGCACGACCTCCTGTTTGTATCCTTGACAACATAATGGATCTGGACGGAACCATCCAGTAAAAGTTTTGTGGATCTGGTTCCAGTGTTCCATGTTTGTGCTCTCAGCCTCTGGTGGTAAACATTAAAAATCTTGGGTAGGGAGTTGGATGATACCTTTGATCACAGCGTCGGCCGTGGACTTGAAGTGAGGTGTCACCAGTCGCAAGCACTTGACTGTAGTTCCGAATATGTCTATACTCTCTGAAAGACGCAGCATGAACCCAAGGCGAAAACTGTTCTTGGGCACCTTGAAATGTTCATATATGAAGGATAGCATGGCCTCCAGTCCACGCTCCTCGAAGGCCATAGGACGTATGCCGAAGTATTGATACTGGCCTCCCGGATGCATCACCATATACCACAGCGTTTTGCCTTTGAAGATATGCCTGATGAGAGGGTCGAATAAGGGCTGTCGAGGTGTTCCACCGAGCTGCACACATTGAATGAACTCTGTAGCACCATCAGCGAACCTCTCGAATCTTTGAACGGCGGCGGCGATGCTGCGTGAGCAATGATCACCTTCACAGCCAATGAAAGAGGAGACAAATGCCTTGGCCGCATGAGCGACCCTTGTAGCAAACGAAGATTTGCTTAGCACCTGCTCTGCCTCATCTTCTTCCAGAGAGAGCTCCCAGCATCTGCGAGCTGCGTCGTTGCAATCCTGGGCAGCACACTTCAGCTTCTTACGCCAATGAATTAGTGACACATCGGTGATCTGCCACTTGTTAGACATCTCGAGTGCAGCCTCCATTTTTATGTGTGCCATCTCCAGCCTCTCTAGGCCACTTCCTCCGATGGCTTCATCTGATTTATCATCGTCTTTCCTGTTGGTTATGCCAGAAAAAATCTGGGTAACTGTCTCCCCAATGATGGCAGACTTGATGATCTCTGCCATTGATTAAAATAGATCGCCCCGGCGCTGCTCACAAAATGGAGCATCTTTAGATTTGTACCCCATTATGGCAACTAGAAGGGAGCTAGCCTGCCAACACTACTATAAAGAAAAGGCTTGTGTCGCTTAGGGTGCTGAGGCAGAGGCTCTGGTTCTTGAGTATCCATGGAGGAATGAACACAGAGAAGGACGATTGTGTATGGTGAGTCATGAAATTGATCTTATTAAGGCTATGTTCTATCAAAACTTTTGCAACCGATCAAGCCCTAAGAGATTATACTTCCACGTCAAAAAAGAGAATCTTACTCATCTCGAATGTCACAGAACACTAGAATAGAAAGCCTTTAACGGGTCGAAAGCTCTCCCGATGAACACATTTCTGAAATTATCTTATAGCATCCCAGTGATAATCCTCAATTAAGCGGATTATCGACAGAGGTTTCCTAATTCTCCCTTAAGTTATCTTTTTTAGCATGAACTCCTTGTTTTCAATGTTCTAGTACGCAAAACAGAACATGTTTTTGCTAACTAGTTGTTTTAAACATACACGAGCAAAACATGAATTCTGTGTACGTACCAAAATTTAAAACAAGGAGGTTTATGCATCTATAGTTTTGTACATACTAGGACTGCAGAATGCAGACTTGCAACAGAACCATTTTCTAAGAGCTTCATAAGTCTTCTTTTTGAAAAAAAAGCTCCATAAATCTGTACTCACTAGTACGATGCTATGCAAAATCTGTATTTTTCATCTCCAGGGCGCAAAATCTGAGAGTAAAACTTGCACATAATAGTGGTGAGACGAAAATATGTGTCGATGAATATTGAATGGATACCTGATGATGCTTCAATTGTTGTTCCCTGGGATGATGGATGGAATTCTGGCTCTACTTTTTCTTGCACATATCTTCTTGTTCCCTGCCGTCGGTACCTACTTTTGTTGTTTTTTCTGAATGTTCGTCTTCTGTTGTTGCTCTCCCCTGGCTCTCGTTTCTGTCGCTCCTATTACTACTACTTGCTTTCCTTGGGTATGGTAAGTCAGGCGAGGTGCTGAGGTATTTAAGGTAGCTGCTGTTTGGCTTCCTTGACCAGGATATCCTTCCGTGACAAACTTGGACAGTGATATTTTCTGTTTGAATTTACTTGGACTTTGACTCTTTTTTTCAATTTACTTGGACTTTGACTTTTTGTTTGAATTGACTCGGACATTGACCTTTTTTGTTTGAATTTACTTGGACTCTGACTGTTTTGTTTGAATTTACTTGGACTGACTTTTTTTGTTTGAATTTACTTGGATAGTGAACTTGGTGTTGTGGTACTAAGTCTGACAGTAAGAATAGGGGGGTACGTATGAGGAGGCAAGGTCTTAGATACGGTGAGATTGTATGCAAGAGTTTTACGAATTCAGGTCCCTCTCGGAGGAGGTAAAAACCCTACGTCTCGATGCCCTGAGGCGGTCGACTGGAATATGAATGTGTGTGTTACAGGGGGTGCAAACCCTTGTCTCAAAAGAGGGGGTGGCTTATATAGAGTGCGTCAGGACCCCAGCCAACCTCTGTTACAGGGGTTCAATGTACATAAAGATAGAGTGTTACTGGTAATGCCAACTATAAAGTGTATTTAATGACCTTTAAGACTACGGAGTGAACGCCTGACCGTTGTTGTCCTGAGTAACTCCTGGTCTTCTGTAGGTCGAGTGGTTTCTCGTATAGTCGAATGGCCTCGTCTTGGTCGAGTGATACCAGGAGGGAGGGGTATCTGAGTGGGATGACTGGTCGAGTGGATTGAACTCGACGACTTCAATTGGTACTCTCTGTTGTTCCTGAAATGTCTTTGCTTCTAGTGTAGTGACCTTGGGTGGGGCGTATAGGTCAGGCCTATGACCCTACCCTAGGTCTATTGCATCATCACTTCGAGCTCGTCCTTTCGGTGTACCAGCGACCTTAACCGCTGTCATTTCTTATGGGTGTGGTGCGGTTGCGTTTCCTCTTTCTTTCTTTTTCTGTTTCTGCTAGTTTGTTTTTCCTTTATTTCTCTTTCTTCCCCAAGTTCCAGGTGGAATTTTGCATTTTTTTTCTACCGATATGATATGCTTGACAATCTTTGTCTTTATTGGAGTGATTCAGTGCCTGAAAGTTTTTTTTATGTTGTTCATCGCGGGCAAGAGATATCATAGCCTGGCTGTAGTTTGGGTCAAAATCTAGAGGTAGATGGCCCTGATTATAATCTTCTCTTTGTGACGGGTCGTTTCTGTATCTCTGTGGATTCAGTTACCCATTTTCAGTCGTGCCGATATTTATTGTTGTACTAGTCTGAAAATATTTAATTTAATTTAATTTTAAAGCAGCCAAACTGTCAAAAAGGTGGGCGGAACCGACCTCAATGGGTGGGGCAAACAAGTCATGATTTACTAGTAGGATTATAAATTCACATGTAGGTTGGTGACGTGTGATTCGGAGGCTTCAAGTCAAGTCAAGTCGCGGAACCTAGTCCAGATTCTCTCTCAACCAAAAGATGAAAAGAAATCTAGTGGGTCGGGATTGGATTGTGAACCAAGCGCTTTCATGTTTACAGTGCTTCCCTTTGCAGCCAGGGTTAAAATATTGAGATCCGAAGCCGTTTCCCTTTGCAGCCAGAGTGTGGAACGTTCAAAGTCGTCTCCTTTCACACGGAAGCTAGGATTACTCTTATTTCAATAATGTACCTATTACTGTCATCAATAATATTGTCCATGAACTGGTCAGCCGAATATCGACACTTTCCTACGAACAGAGGGTGTATATAAAACTAAACCACAAAGAACTAGTATTGGTAGGTCTTATTTTCTTATTTCTCCCAATGGGGAGCACCGAACTCCTTGAGCACACAGAGGGAGGTGTGTGCTTCCTTTTTTCTTTCCGACAAAGAAAATATATTAATATCCTAAAGACATCAAGGATACACACAGCCAAAAAGTAAAAATAAAAAGAATATAAGAAAGAAAAAAGTGCCCGCCATGGTGAACAATACTAGCAGCAACAACACTCTAACCACCACAAAAAACAACACCCGGAATACAAAAAAGGTTCTCCAAAAGCAACACCTCCAAGAGGAAACAATGCACAAGCGTTGTCGTTGTCCGATCGAAGATCTCGGATTTTCACCCAGAGAAAGTCTGAGTTCACCCGAAACAATGCCTTCAACAAGGCCATTGTCAGGTACAACCAATAAAGGCCAGACCTTGAGTTTTCACCCTGGAGATAAAGACTCGGTACTCGAGGAGGAGCACCAAAAATGCATTCCCCCAGTGCCACCGCCCCCGTTTGCCAAGGCCGCTATTACAAGTCACCACACACCTGGCACACAATCTTCATCGCATCTAATAAACCCTTTCATCGAAGGTTACGACCTCCAATCGCAGCCACCATGAATTTCCCCATCTCTATCAGTGCCTTGAGAATCTTGACTTAGACATGTCCCATGGCACGGATAAGAAAGCGAAGCTTCGCGTCCCGTCCTCCTAAGGCCTTGTTGGCTGATATTATGAGCGCACGGGAACGGAGCCTTTTCGATCTAGATATATAGCGGCGACATACGCCAATCCATATGGATCTTCGAAAGGGAAGACCGGAACTCGTCAGCGGCCAGATCCAAGAGGTCAATACCCAGCAGAGAGATGACATGGCGGAAGAAGATTGTTAGGGCCAAATCCCGCAGAACCAGATTGGGGCAATCCACCACCATGGAATGAAGGTCCAGCTCGACCCAACCCACCACCGGATGAGCCCTCGCCTGAGCCGCCTGCGCCGGCGAGAGAAGGTCAGGCCGCCGTCCAGTAGGATTCCCACCAGCTGTCGGCACGCCTCACATTGCCTACCATGGCCCAGATCCAGCGGAGCCTGCTGGAATCAGACGCGGCTGCCACCGCCCGGGGTTGCCCTAGCATCCACCAATAGGATCCTCAAGAAGCCATGTACCCACTCTGGAGCAGCAATCTGGACAAGCAGCATTGAGTCGGAGCGATGTCGCATGCACATCGTGGATCAGATCTGACGGCAGATGAAGGTTGGCCAAGCTTGGAGATGAAGGGAGAGGAGAGCCAAACGGGTGCATCCCACCACCGCTGTCAACACCGACGGCCTCCTTCGACAGCGACAGAGGAGATGGTCGACTGGGGTGGCCTGTGGTGTGGCGGCTGGGGAGGACTCCGGAGTCTCCTGTAGGAGCAACCGTGGAGGCAGTTTTGATATTAGCTTTCTCTTCTGCTTCGCTGGGCTATACCCGGGAGGTGCGTGCTTGTTGGGCTCCACCAGTCTAGTTCCTTCCGATTATTTGTTTTAGGGGTAATATCACAAGAGGTCATAGAACTTGCGCTAGATGTGAAGGAAATATGCCCTAGAGGCAATAATAAAGTTATTATTTATTTCCTCATATCATGATAAATGTTTATTATTCATTCTAGAATTGTATTAACCGGAAACATAATACATGTGTGAATACATAGACAAACATAGTGTCACTAGTATGCCTCTACTTGACTAGCTCGTTGATCAAAGATGGTTGAGTTTCCTAGCCATAGACATGAGTTGTCATTTGATTAATGGGATCACATCATTAGGAGAATGATGTGATTGACTTGACCCATTCCGTTAGCTTAGCACTTGATCATTTAGTATGTTGCTATTGCTTTCTTCATGACTTATACATGTTCCTATGACTATGAGATTATGCAACTCCCGTTTACCGGAGGAACACTTCATGTGCTACCAAATGTCACAACATAATTGGGTGATTATAAAGGAGCTCTACAGGTGTCTCCAAAGGTACTTGTTGAGTTGGCGTATTTCGAGATTAGGATTTGTCACTCTGATTGTCGGAGAGGTATCTCTGGGCCCTCTCGGTAATGCACATCACAATAAGCCTTGCAAGCAATGTAGCTAATGAGTTAGTTGAGGGATGATGCATTACGTAACGAGTAAAGAGACTTGCTGGTAACGAGATTGAACTAGGTATTGAGATAACGA